AAAAAAAAAAAAAAAAAAAGCCCCAAGACTGGTAATACAAAAAGAAAAAAAAAGAGGAAGAATAGCAATAAATATATACTTATATAGTCTAACTGTGTAGCCCAAGTGGGCCTCAAATCTGAGATTTTTCTGCCTCATCTTTCTAAGTATTGGAAGTACAGTTGTGTGGCACCATATTCAACTCTTCTTATGTTCCAAAAAAATATTTTTTTTGGGGGGGGGTCCAGACTTGGGGCCTGGGCGCTGTCCCTCAGCTCTTCAGCTCAAGGCTAGCGCTCTACCACTTGAGCCACAGCGCTACTTCTGGCTTTTTTCTTTTTGCTTATGTGGTGCTGAGGAATCGAACCCAGGGCCTCAGACATGCAAGGCAAGTGCTCCACTACTGAGCTACCTTCTCAGCCCTTATGTTCAAATTTTGTTTAAAAAAAATTTGTTTTGGGGGGCTGGGAAAGTGGCTCAGTGGTAGAGTGCTTGCCTCATATACATGAGGCCCTGGGTTCGATTCCTTAGCACCATATAAACAGGAAAAGCCGGAGTTTATTAGGAAGGGAATACACTTTCAATAGTCTGAAAGTGGGCCATCTTTAGCTTGAGAATGACAATGACTTTTACCCCCATACAAGTTTGTCCCCTTGCTAGGAACAGCTCAAGAGGCAGATTCAGCTGGCTCATGCCTGTAATCCTTGCTGAGATCTGAGGATCACAGTTCAAAGCTAGCCCGGGCAGGAAACTCTGTGAGACTCTTATCTTCCACCAGAAAACTGGAAGTGGCACTGTGGCTCAAATGCCTTGAGCTGAAAAGCTGAGGGACAGCTTCCAGGCCCAGAGTTCAAGCCCCACAACTGACCAAAAAAAAAAAAAAAAAAAAGAGGCAGATTCATTGTCTCTAAGAGACCTCTAGGCCAGGGTTTACTGGACTGTGTGGGCAAATTAAAGATCTAAAATTTTAGGGACTATTCCAGGACTCACTTTAGGCTGGAATGAAGCCTATCATTAATCCTTAGGTGAGTGGAATATTCAAAGAACTCATCTTGTGGTATTCCACCTTGACTTGTGGCAGCATAAGCTGGTTGAAAAGCTTACAGTTTTCTGAGACCTTCTGATGCCATCTTCCATTTTAGGTTTCCTTTACACTTCTTCATCATGGTTAGCTACCTATCAGTAAGAATGTTCTTGTTTTTTGCGGGGAGGGGAATTAGGTTTGAACTCTTGGTTTTTTGGTTTTTTTTTTTTTTGTCGTCGTGGGGCTTGAACTCTGGGCCTGGGCGCTGTCCCTCAGCTCTTCAGCTTAAGGCGAGTGCTCTACCACTTGAGCTACAGCGCCACTTCCAGTTTTCTGGTGGTTTATTGGAGATAGGAGTCTCACGGTCTTTTCTGCCCGAGCTGGCTTTGAACCGCGATCCTTAGATCTCAGCCTCCTGAGTAGCTAGGATTACAGGCGTGAGCCACCAGCACCCGGCTAGGTTTGAACTCTTGTACTTTATGAAAGTAGTCTACTGCTGGAGCTACACTCCTACACTCCCAATCCTCTTACATTTAAAAAATAATTTTATTGGTACTATTAATGTGTTGTACAGAAGGGCTACCGTTTCATTAGTCAGGTGATATATATATATGCATATATATATATGCATATATATATATATATATATATATATATATATGGACAGTGTCATCACCTGGGAACTTGTGAGAAATGAAAATTCTCTATCTGGGAAATCAGAACCTGTAGAAGGCTTAGTTTAACAAGCCTTCCAGGTGATTTTAGTGCTCATTAAGCTCTGAGACCCACTGCTCTACAGAACCATTTGCATCAGTGTTACAGAGTATATGGGGAAGAATAGCTTTGCACAGAGTCCCCAGATGAGTAGTACATTGTGGCAGCTATTACAAGGATAATATTGTGTGTGTGTGTGTGTGTGTGTGTGTGTGTGTGTGTGTGCAGGCATGCTTGGGTTTGAACTCAGGGTCTGGGCGGTGTCCCTGAGCTGCTCTTGCTCAAGGCTAAATAACACTTTACACTTGAACCATTGTTATATTTTCAGCTTTTTTGGTGATTAATTGGAGATAATAGTCTCACGGACTTTCCTGCTCAGGCTGGAGTTGGACCAAGATCCTCATCTATCAGCCCTGAGTAGCTAGGATTACAGGCACAAGCCACTGGCACCTTGCTACAAGGACCAGTATTCTATGTAGCTAGTTTTCTTCAAAGGCATGGTCTGTGAAATGAATGGCTGCTTGAGTAAATTAGTTCATCTTGTAAGCTTCACTTTCCTTATTTGCAAAGTGGGCATAAAAAAACAGTCCTTAGGGCGCTCGCCTTGAGCTGAAGAGCGCAGGGACAGCGCCCAGGCCGAGTTCAAGCCCCACAACTGACAAAAAAAACCCAAAAAAACAGTCCTTCATCTGGTTATTGTGAGGCTCGATTCCATAAATTAGAAGACTATCTGATTATATGTTATATTTGAAAGGCAATCTGAATGTATTATGAAAGGACAATCATCTCAGGTTCATTTCGTAAAAGTGATAGTCTGCCTATTGTTAGTTTTTAAAGACGTTGAGTAAGAAGCACACACGTGGTACTCAGGTAGGGGGTAGGTTTATTCATCGTTCCAGCTGGCACCAGGCCATGTTGGCACTCCACACGGCTGGGAGAAACCATCTGGCCCTGGCGGAGGCCTTATCTAGGGTAGGCCCAGTGAAAGGTGTGGCCACATCGAATACAGATGTGATCTCAGCAGACACAGATGTGACCTCTTCCAGGTGTGCCAGTTGCCTAGGTAACATGCAGGGACTGGGCTGAGACTTTGCTTCGAGGAGGGTGGAGTCTGCTCACCATCCAGGAGCGGACCTTACACTTACGTATTTTGCATATTCAAAATTTACCCCTTTAACCCTCATTCCAAAATTCTTCTGCAATTTTTGTGTGTATGCACACACACATGCACGCCTGCACCCATGTGTCCATGTGTGCTTGTCCTAGGGCTTGAACTCAGGTCTTTGGTCTATTTAGCTGTTTTACTCAGACTGGCGCTCTACCACTTGAACCAAAGCTCCACTTCTTTTTGTTGTTCTGTTCTGTGCCCACGTGCCCACTTGTGCTTGAACTCAGAGCCTGGGCTTGGGTCCATTAGTTGTTTCACTCAAGGCTAGCACTCTACCACTTGAACCACTGCTCCACTTCTGGCTTTTTTGGTGGTTGATTGGAGATAAGTCTCTCTTTGTCTGGGCTGGCTTCAAATCATGATCCTAGCCTCAGGAGTAGCTAGGATTTCAGGCATGAGCCACTAGGTCCCAGCTCGTGGTAAATAGGAGGAGAGAACCATGGACTTTGTCAGAGCTACCTTCAAACCAGGATCCTCAAGATTTTGAGCCTCCCAAGTCAGTAGGATTACTGGCATGAACTACCAGGGTCTAGCTTTTTCTGCTCTTTTGATATTCTCTGAACAGATTGCTAGATTTAAGAGGCAAGTAGAATCTTGACTACAAGATTTGACTCTTTCCCTGAATCAAGGTCAAGAGACAAGAGTTGTCCATACTAAGCCCTACGGGCAAATCTGGGCCTAGATCTGAGACAAGACTGTTATCTTGATCTTTCCTGGTATTTTTAGCCACTAGCTGTAGCGTATGAAATGCTTAATGCATTATTTTGCTACATCTTATTAAGACACTTAAGGGCCACATTAAAAAGTCTTCCCTCTATAGAACCCATAGCCCTGTTTTCCTGTGTTCCAGGGTTGCCCTCCAAAGGTTCATAATGTACATTGCTTTAAACTACTCGGGTGAACGTGACCTTGTCTGCCGGGACTTAAAACCCTCCATTTCCTAGATAGCTTTATCAACATAGGTGAGTTTAGCGTGCACACAGCTGAAGCCCCCGGCTGCATTTTCATGTCTGACTAGGGCAGCAACATGCAGACAACCTAATTCAGAAAGGCTACGGAGCTCCCTCCTTCCTGACACGAATAACGACACCAGGAATCTGGATCTGCAAAAGGCAGCGCGCCGCTGCAGCGAACCGGCTCGGGTTCGCGCCACCTGGAAGAAGGGCGGAGAGGCTACAAGCCTCGAGGCAGGAGAAAGGCAGCCTCCTTGTGACGTCAAATCAGCGGACTCCGGCCCCGGCTTCAGGCCGGTTCCGGTTCCCCGGCTTTCTGGGCGCGAGCGTGCGCGAGCGCGGCTGCGTACTGCGCGTGCTCCGCGGAGGGACGCGAAGGAGAAGGTTGGCCCGGGGCTGGCGGAGGCGGCGCGTGATTGGCTGGGGCCGCTCTGGGGGGTTCCCCGGCCCTGTCGGCAGGGGTAAAACAATAAGAGGGGGCGGCGGCAAAGGGGGCGGGACGTCCGTGTTCCTCGTCGCTCGCCGCACTGCTTGGCGCCCGGGAAGCGGTGGTTGTGGAGGGGGAAGACCGGCTCGCGGCTCTCCGGCTTCTGAGGCTTTTGGGGTTTGTCGGAGGAAGAAGGCGGCGCGAGCCCGGAGAACCCCGCCGCGGCCGACCCTCGGCGACTCTCCTGCTGACCTCCGCGAGCCTTACCCGCCGCCGCTGTTGGTTGGAGGTGTGTACGGGGGCCGGGCGGGGAGGTCGGTGTGGCGGTCGGAAGGGGACATTCCCCGCGCGCGCGCGCGAGCGTCGCGGCTCGCGGTAACCGTCCGGGGCCCGAGCTCCGGTGTCGGAGACGCTGCTGCGGCGGAGACGGAGATATTGTTCTAGCCGTCGGCTGCCTACGCCGCGGAGGGTGCGTGCGCGAGGAGCCGAGCCTTCTCCTCCGAGGTGAGCGCCGGGGAGGCTGCGTGGGAAGGGAGGTGGCCGCGCCGGCGCGCGCGGTCCGGTCCGGGGCCGCCGGGGGAGGGGGGTACAGGTGGGGCCGGGGCTCGGTGGGGGGGAGACCCGGGTGGCGAAGCAAGGAGGAGGAGGAGGACGCGGAGCTCCCGAAGCGGCGCCGGTGGAGCCTTCCACGGGGAGCGGAGCCGCGGGCTTCCCGGAGAAGATGTGCCCAGGTGCGGAGCCCACCTGCCTCGCCTGCTGTTCGTGTTGGCCGTGGCCTTGGGAGTGGGGACGCGGTGGCCGCCCCGCCCGTGGGGGAGGGGAAGGAGGCCGCGGCGGCGGCGGCCGCGGGAGCGGCGGGATCGACGCGGAGGCGAAAGTAGCGGCCTCCGGGCACCATTTCCGCGCACGGAAACGGAATCTGGGTTTGAAGGCAGCCGCCGCTTCCCTCACCCGATGCTCAGCGTTCGGGTACTCGGGTTATCTCGTGCGCGCCTCCTTCGTCCCCCCCCCCCCTTTTATTCAGGTGGTTTCCTGCTGACCCTATGCCTGAGTGCTTTAGGGAATGGATTTTTTCTCTCACACCCCACTTTTTTTGGGGGGGGGGAAGAACAGAGGGAATACAGATTTCTTAGATTGCGTGAATTTTGTTAGTCGAATCTGATCGAATTTTTCTTGCTTCTCTAAAATCATACTACTAAAGATGGCCCTATGCTGCTTTAGTTCTCCGCATAGACCGATTCCCTCCCCCCTCCCCCCACAAGACAACTAATTTATTTTAACGGAGTTTTGGGGACTCTGCCCTCTTTAAAAACAACACGTGCATCGAAGCTGGGATGAGAAAGTTGTCACCTCCTATGAAGTTGGGGTGAGATACAGATTGTAGGTTCAAGGCATCGTACCTCATACTATGTTAGCATTGTTCAAGTACCTGGCTCTAGGAGTCATTAGAGTATCTACACTGGAAGAGGATAGTAATTCCTTGACCAGTTCCATATTTGGCAGTTAAAATAACCCTAGGCATGTGGACCAAAATTTCTAAGTAAACACTAGACTTTGCCAAATCCACTGGTCCTTTTGTTATCCAAGACTCTTGGTCTTCAAAAATAGAAGAGGTATGTATGATCAGCTTGAATTTTAGTATCAAATTATGTATAGTTTCTTTGGTTACATTGCCTTGTACTATGCATGATTTAGCCTCTACAAATTATGAAAAATGGTCCAGGAATTGTAGGGAGGATGAGTCCTCTCAGATGGTTCAGATTGTTGAACATTCTGGGCTGTAATATTAGTGGTGGAGAACAAGCATCAAGAACACAGGGGCTGGCTGGCAATGTGGCTTAGTGGTAGAGTGCTTGCCTAGGAGGCATGAAGTCTTGGGTTTGATTCCTCAGCACCACATAAACAGAAAAAGCCAGATGTGGTGCTGTGGCAAAGGGATAGAGTGCTACTTTTGAGCAAAGGAAGCTCGGGGACAGTGCCCAGACCCTGAGTCCAAGCCCCAGGACCGGTGGGAAAAAAAAAAAAAGTATACAGTGCCCAGGGACTGGTTGGCTCACACCTGTAATCCTAGCTACCCAGGAAGTTGAGATCTGACAGTCAGGGTTCAAATCCAGACTGCGTGGAAGTTGTGAGACCAACAAAGCTGGAAGCAGAATTGTGGCTCCAGTGGTAAAACAGGGCCTGAGCAGAAAAGCTCAGACAATACTCAGGTACTGAGTTCTAGCACCAAGACCAACACTAAAAGAAAAAAAAATACAGAAATATCACTTGATAATTTAACAGTGAGCTAGATAGACTAAATGTAGGTGTAGTAGGAAAATGTTGGGATTGTTCTAGCGTGAAGTATTTGTTATCTATATTTGTATGAGATATTAAAAATCAAAGTTTTAGTAACAATTTATAACCAGAGTTTTTATTTGAGTGTATGTAGTACTGAGATTTAAACTCAGGGCTTCTTCTGAGCTCACTGAACTTTGTCATTGAAGGCTGGTGGTGTTGCTCTCCCACATTAGCCACACTAACAATTCCTTACAGCTTCTACATGCTGCAAAATTATTTTTCATTATAAAGGATTGAAACATAATCAGCTACTGGTGGTTCACACCTGTAATCCTATTTACTCAGGAGGCTGAGATCTGAGGATAATGGTTCAAAGCCAGCCAGGGCAGGAAAGTCCATGAGACTCTAATTTCTAATTAATCACAGAAAGAGCTAGAACTGACACTGTGGCTTAAGTGGTAAGAGGGCTATCCTTGAGTGAAAGGAGCCAGGACAGCGCCTAGGGCCAGAGTTGAAGAACCAGGACTGGCAAAAAAAAAGGAAATATTTTGTTTTTTGTGCTAGTCCTGGGGCTTGAACACAGGGCCTGGGCACTGTCCCTGAGCTTCCTTTGCTCAAGGCTAACACTCTACCACTTGAGACACACCTCTTCTCACCTTTTCTGTTTATTGTGGTATTGGGGAATTGAACCCAGGGCTTCATGCATGCTAGGCAAGCACTCTACCACTAAGCCAATTCTAGCCCTTTCCCCTTTTCCCCCCCATTATTATAAAGGTGATGTACAGAGGAACACATAAGTCAAAGACTACATTACTTTTTTTTTTTTTTTTGCCAGTCCTGGGGCTTGAACTCAGGTCTGGGCACTGTCCCTGAGCTTCTTTGGCTCAAGGCTAGTACTCTACCACTTGAGCCACAGTGCCACTTCCAGCTTTTTCTGTTTATGTGATACTGGGCTTTATGCATGCTAGGCAAGCACTCTATTACTCTACCACATTCCCAGCCCCTGAAATACAGTTTTCTATTGCCTTAGAGGGCCTTTATTTTCAACATGTATTTATGTTGGATGGGAGAACTACCATACACAGTGCTTTGTATGGGCTGTTCCTGAGATTTGAACTCAAGGCCTAGGCACTATGAACTTTTGTGCTCAAGGCTAGGGCTCTGCCATTGAGTCAGCTCCAATTCTGTTTTTTGGTGGTTAGTTGGAAACAGTTTTCATGAATTTTTCCTGCCTGGGCTAGTGTTGAACTGTAATACTCAGCTCTCTCTGCTGCTTAAGTAGCTAGGAATAGTGGCATGAGCCATTGGCACTTGGCTCCCTGAGCTTTTGTGCTCAAGGCTAGAGCTTTACCATCTGAGCCACAGTGTCATTTGTCACTTCAGCCTTTCTTGTGATTAATTGGAGAAACGAATTTGGAGGACTTTCTTGCTTGGGCTGCCTTCTAACCTTGATCCTCAGATCTCACCCTCCTAAGATTACAGATGTGAGCTACCAGCACCTGTGCTTTATTTTTTATTTTTATTTTGTCAGTTATGGGGCTTGAGCTCTGGGCCTGGGCATTGTCCCTCAGCTCTTCAGCTCAAGGCTAGTGCTCTATCACTTGAGCCACAGCACCACTTCCAGTTTTTTGAATGGCTAATTGGAGATAAGAATCTCATGGACTTTTCTGCCTGGGCTGGCTTTGAACCTTGATCCTCAGATCTCAGCCTCCTGAGTAACTAGGATTACAGGTGTGAGCCACCAATGCCCGGCTTTGTATTTTTGTTTGACAGTACTGGGAGCTGAACTCAGGGCCTTGAGCTTGCCACTCAGGTGCTCCACTTCAGTCAAGCCTCCCTACATGCTTAGTTTTGAAAAGCACAAACTTAAGGATTGCTTAAGAATTTATATTCATTTTAATTGACAAACAAGTAGTCATTCTCTGGTAGTCATTGCATAGTTGATAAGACAGATTGCTTTTTCTTCCAGAAACCTTGGCAATAGGTTCAGTTTCTTGTGTCTCAGCTCATTTTAATCTTCTAGTTTCTAAGTATTCTACTTTGAAGTCATAAGTTTTGTTAGGAATGACTGCTTCCTATTACATTACTATTCTATTCCTTTAAACTTTTTACTTTTTTTTCTTTCTTGATTTATTTGGCTATTCTTCCATTGCAGTTGGTGGAAACCAGATGTAAATAATGCTTCACTGGAAGCGGGAGACTCAATTTCACACCCTCTTTCTGTAACTGAGGACTAGGCTCTGTATCAGTTTTCTTTTCTGTAATAAAGCTAATACCCTATCTATGTCTAGGCAGTAATGACTTACATGCTATTTTTTGTGAGACAGCATTTCCTTTTGCCTATCCTGGGGCTTGAACTCAGAGCTTTTGGGGCCTGTCCCTAATCTTTTCTAAATGCCAGCCCTACAGTTTTAGCCACAGCTCCACTTCTGGCATTTTTAGGGACTAATTGGAGATACTGGCATTTTTAGGGACTAATTGGAGATAAGAATGTCATGTACTTTTTTTTCTTGGGCTGGCTTTCAATTCTGGTCCTCAGATCTCAGCCTCCTGAGTAGCTAGGATCACAAGAATGAGCTACCAATGCCAGGCCTGAAACTTTATTTCCAGTTAATCACCAAAAAGCTAGAAGTGGAGCTGTGTCTCTAGTGGTAGAGCACCAGCCTTGAGTGACCACACCCAGGGAGTTCAAGGGAGTGCCAGTACACACACCACACGCACACACAATATTTACTTTTCTAATTGTTGAAGTTATTTTAAGTAAAGACCATCAGAAAATTTGAAATGTTCCAATAATAATATGGGGCTGGCAGTAATAGGGTGCTGGCAACTGAAAATTGTTATAGTCTTTGATTCTGAACATGCATATTAACCTGCCTCCTGAGCTGTGAGTGAGCCCCTCCAAAGAGGATGTAAAAGTAAGCATCTTATGCAGATACAAGCTAATAGCACAGGTGTATTCTTTGTTGCGAAAAGTTTCTGGTGAAAAATACTACAGCTACCAGTGCTAGTGGCTTATGCCTGCAATCCTAGCTACTCAGGCTAAGATCTGAGGATCATGGTTCAAAGCCAACTCAGACAGAAAAGTCCCAGGAGACTCTTAATCTCCAGTTAACCACTCAAAGACTTAAAGTGGAGCTGTGACTTTAAAGTGGTGGAGCTGTAGCCTTGAGCAAAAGACCTTAGGAACAGCCCCCCCCCCAGCCCTGAGTTCAAGTCCTATA